CCCACAACGCTCACTGCTGCACAAACTTAATGAACGTTCGTTCGCAAAACGCAACCCAGCCCGATGAATCGTACATTCAGAGGTCCTAAATTGAGCACTATAAATACTCTTAATGAAATGTTTTCATTAGTGTTCATTATCTTCAGCGCTATTTAGTATTTATTATGTTAAGATTTTCTGCCTGTCTAGTTACCAAGTCGCCGTCGTGTCTAATGAATAAACATTTTAAAGATAAGTAAATAGCTTTTCAAATGTATTGAGATCTGGATGATGTCCAATTAGACACTAAATATCGTGCAGACGATGAATGACTCTATCTAAACCAGTCTGATGATTCCTGAAATATGTAGGCGTAGTCTATGTCAATTATGGATTGTAAGTGAACCACGTAGGCAGTAAACATTCCATAGCTAATTTCTCGTCATTGCGGTCTGAGGTAGGGCGGCCGAAGCGGACAGATGTACGGCTGTACGTATGTATATCTATAATGAATCACGTAACGGTGCCTGCTATTCCAACAGAGGTCGCCGTCTCGTCTACGTCTACTTGCCTATCTACAATGCGTGAAGGTTCACGAACAATCTCCAGTCTGAATTTGTGACCTTGTTTATTAATCAGTGTACAAAATAGACTTCTAGGTTAATTATGAGACAATTTACTTTGCTTTACAATAACATATATTATGATGCCATCTCTGTGATTTATCTTATAATTGCACGTTGTATATGGAATTTGCGGTGAAGTGGCATTGTAGATATCCAAGTACTGGAATACTGGATAAGGCACATTACTTTGTCTGAAATATTAGAGATTAGTAGACTGCTAGTTTAGTACAGTTCAGTGTTTAGCAGTCCATAAAGTTATCCGACATATGAAACAACTCCAGCGTAGCGCACAACGCTAGCCAGTTGAGATTACTGGCAGCTTTTAAATGCCCCCAATGCTCTGAATGTTCAGCATCGGAACACTTGGCGGACGAGTTTTGAAAACCCCTCCAGAGGAGTGCCCAAAGCAATAGCCTTTGCTCCAGATTTGTTAGCAGTAGTTTCGCTCATTTACGAAACGGCCGAGTTGAGGTGATCGGGAGTTTGTCAAAGGATTCATGCTTTAAAATGTTTTATTAAAACACAATGAATTCTCTTTTTATATTGCTGAATTGAGAGATCGATGTAAAGTTTCAAAAATAAAATTTATATAGGTCAGCAACGAGTTTCACAATATCATGCGTTCATCCGAGTTCGGATTGTTTGAAGCGATTTATACTTTCCAAGAACTGGGTAGGGATTTCAGCGCGTTCCTTCGCTAATTTTGTACTGTACGCGTTGTGTAATAATATCTTGTTTGTATTTAACTGGAAGTCTGAAGTGATAATCATCGGCGTGTAACATAAATTCGTTTACACCAGAATATAAAGTTGCCTTGATTTCATTTGAGTTTTCAAAGTATTTCGTTTTTAGAAGCGAGTTTGCTTAAATCAGTCGTGCGATGAAAGCGAGTGAGTGGGTGGACCAGTTGGTTGTGAACTTCTATTTCGAGTATAGAGCGCGGGTTGGCGGCATGGCGGCGACTGCCGGTGCATCTATCACAGCCCACGTATGGCAACAATACTGCAAGTTGTGCGAACAGAGACCACCTGAGCCCACGCACACTTTCACTGCTGCCCTTTACAAAGTACTTACACTGTTACGTATACAAATGTATACTATGCGTAGGATTCTGATACTTATGGGTATTAGACAAAGACTTTTCTGATAAATAAAACATAGATCAACTTTTTCCTTGAAATAAATCAAGTTAGAGGCTTCGAAAATAGTTGAAAAGTAAGTAGGTAATTAACATTTGTGCAATATAATCGTTCGATAAATAGTAATTTGTCTAAAGTTACATGGAAAGCTGAATATCACGTTATTTTTTATTAGTCGTCAGTATAATGCAACTGTGTCATGAAAACTGGTATCTAGGTACCTAACTAACAGAACTTAGTCAACCAGAACAAAGTTGTTGACTAAGATGAAGTCACTATCTAGTAGATTTCGCAAGATGACGACGACTACGTATTGATGCGTGACATAATCACACTGCTGGACTCCGATGTATATTAGTACATTGATGCAACACCATATGTATTATACCTGTTTGCCACTAATAATAATCATCTCGAATATTAAAACTTTATATCTCTGCTCAACGCCTACGTCATGGCCCGCGGTCAGTGTTTCATGGTCGTTTTAATGTCAGTAAATTGAGAGTCTGAGGCGATGCGATGATGTTCGCGAATCCGGTTTGACAATACGACGCATCGTCCGCCAGGTAGATATAAGCGGCGTGGGTGAGGTTAAGTGAATAAGGCAATAAGCTCGGTTTAATCAACACAACACGTAGCCTAATCAAATATGACCCCCTCGTCATATCGTGTAATTGAAGGCTTAATCACGGGAGACGTTTCGCGAAAGGCGCGGCGGCGCGGGACGCGGGATGAGCCGCGGGTTTGTTTGATCAGCCCGCGATTACGTACGTACGTACATTACCCACAGAGACGGTGACACCTTTTGTGGGAAAACATTCGGTCTGTTTAATGAAACTCTTACACAGACGACAATTTAGCAAGTGACGGGATTTATTAAAATGCATTGAATGAGAACAATTGAAAAGGACTGCCTTGAAAGCATTGTACAGAAAACTACATAATTTTCTGTATGAACAGCTTAGAAACAGTTTCAAATTGTTAAGTTCACTGCACTCGACCCGCTTTATTAGCTTTCGCAACAGACACAATATTTTTATTATAGCTGGGAAAATCGAATAACAACACCGTTTCAGGTTTCAGTGATGAAAGAACGAAGTTTTCGCTTTACGCGATTAGGCGGGCGGCCGGCGGTCCAGCAGGCAGCCTGCCTCAAAGAGCCAGCACTAGTGCGGCTCACACAAAGCCGTTGTTTACTTTTTCGTCCTCCCAGTTAAATATCTGGACGCTCCATCGCCGGTCAACAGTATAAGCGGCGTATTCTCCGTCGTCGAGATGCTTTTTATCGTGAAGATTAGCGCCGGAGCGACGTACGATGCACTATTTCGCATTCTCCAAGGGATTATTTAAAGTTTCCTTGAGCTATAGCTCCAGCTCCGTCCAAGTGCGGTTTTATCTCGGAGCGCGGATATAAACTGCTGAAGGTTTTCAATGCGTGCATGTACGATGGTTTAAATTTAATATTGCTTCAAGTTTTCATCATAATATTGCTTAGATTCCAGTTTCTAATAAGATTTATAAGTATGTTACGTGTTAATTAAACGTATTTAATCTGAAAACTATATTGTTAATTACATTACTTACTAGTCGCGCACGAAATAAGAATTCTTGGAAGACAAACATGGATGCACTTATTGTTTAGTTAGAAAAGACCGAGATAGCCGATTAATAAGGTAATGGCATTGAAGCGAGAGCATTGTGAAGAGCAGGCAGTGTGGACGCGACGCGACGGTGCGATACCACGATACCACGATACCACCAGGGCGTACAAAGCCCGCACAATGTACGCCGGCTCATTGTTTAGAGTCTCGGACTAAACATCATGCCCGGCTTTAAGCGAATTACCTACTGCAGTCTCACACATGTAACTTGATGTACGCTACACAATAATGCGATATCTAGCCCTGATATACTGCCGCACCTAATAGGCTCCTTGCACACAGCCTTATCAAGTTTCATATATCGCGTGTTTTTTAAATATTTGACGGGGATTTTTTAACAAAGAATTATAAGATTACACCTGAGGTTATTCGTATGGAATAGAAACTTAATGAAATAGAGTCTAATAATAAACATCAATTCTTTGACCCAATATTATATCAGATTTGTCATATTAGTGGCATGGTAGAGAGAGGGGTTTCTATGTAGATAGCAAATCGGTACATACGGATCGTTCGACTACTGCTGATGCAAATCATAGTGTATTTGTGAGGTATCATAGCATTCTAGTCGCAACGTTTGAAACATGACCATATTGAATGGAACAGGATGGTAAACGTAGAAATGTTTAGCAGGCACACTGGCTCGCTTCCCGATCCCAGTGCGTTTTATCTCTTGATCGCGTTATTCAACCAAGCATCAAAGGAAAATACGAAAGGAAATAGGTATTAAGAAATGAGAAAATGCTTTCTATGTATCCGTTTTGATTTGTTGAATTGAAAATAATGAATTGCGTTCCTTAATTTATGTGAGCGCTAAATAAAATTTATGTTGTTGAAAACAAATATTGGAGTGAAAAAGGAGTACCTACAGTTACCATTTAGTCAAATAAAAGGCCGGTGTTATTTGGAGAGCCGAATGAGTGGACATAATCGCGATAAGGCCCTCCGGCCCGAGGCGATGCAGCGGCGGAGGTGCGTGTTTACATGTCAGTTTTAATTTTTATCGCCCTCCACTCGCCCGAAATACCTACCTACCCGTTATCACGTCATTCTACCGTGTTGATAACGCTATAGCACGTAATAGCCGAGCAAACTTACCGATAAACCATTTTATTTGTGCAAATCATGTAAAATATTCATGTTTTCTCTGACATGAAATTTGCTAACGAACGCTATTTAATTCTAACCTGTAGTTCATTTAAATACATGGAATATTGCAAAACCCGAGAGCATTTTGCTGATACATATTGAGTTGTATAGATAAAGCGTCGTTAACATGAATCTCGTCGACAATAAAAATAACAAGTAGGCATATAAAATGTATGGAGAACAAGTTAAGACTGCGAGTCATCGTCCTGCTCATTATGCCAATTCCCATACAATAGTAGACGAACGACGGCGACGGCGGGGGTGACGTCACTTCAAGCTAGCCTTGGGATTGAGGTCGGCGAGCGGAATAGAGGCGGCGAAATGTCGCCTTGAGGGGTTGTTTCTTGTTCGACCGGAAAATCGCTACTGCACAAGTTTTTGAAATTATTTGGTTTATAAGCTATTTAATTTCTTCAGTTTCTATAAAATATAAATAAGTAACTCACCTTGATACTGTCGTAGCAGGCGGTAACTCTTCCATTCTGCACCTCCACGGTAGCCGGGGGATGCGCAAACTTGCATTCGGTGTCGGGTCGCGAGCACTTATTCCGTTGAAATTCGCGGCACACTTCAAGCTGTAGCCAACGTGAGTCCTTGCCGTTTAAGAGGTTATTCATGTTCACCATGGTGGCCATTGCTGCCATAAAATTCAGGGGCGGTAGATGCGCGCGCAATTACGCAGAGCGAGTGCGGCGCATAGGCGGCGGGGAGCGAGCGCGCCCGCGCGCTCTCAGCATGCACTGGTCACACGGCTAGAGAGATGCTGCTGCGGCCACTGGCGTCGATCGCGCACCCTCACTACACTACGACACACACGCACGGACGCGGCTACCACGCTAGGTACTACTTACTAGTTGATTAATCTTACAATTAAGTTAGAATTAAAGACACCGACGTTGCAAGCTTATTTAGGCGAGTATTAAAATATTATTATCACACGCGTTCTTATCGATGTTGACGGTTGAGTTTAGTAGAGGGCGAGCGGTGCTTGGTGCGCGAGCATGGCGGCGGCCGGTGCGGGTCTGGGCGGGCGACGGTGGGGCGCGAAAAAGCTAGATTAGCGGCTCGGCGGTCAGCGAGCAAGCCGGTGCGGTGCGGGGCTCAACTCTGCGAACAACAAAACACACTGGTTACTCTCCGGGCATTTCGCCCCGGAGCCAAGCACAAGCGGCTACCGGGTTAGCAAGCACGCGCGGTGGCCGCTCTCAGGCCCGCGCCCAGTGACAACGCCGCGCTCACCGAGGCGCGGGCGCACCTGCGCACGCCTCGGACCAACGCGGCGTTCTCACTGGTAGCAGATTTTAGGCAAACATTATTTTCAGGTCTCGTTCTGTTGCATGTTATTCGCCAGCAACATAATGCATTGTGAACTCTATCAAAGGTGCGCAAGAGGAATTAGCAGTTATCAAGTTTTAAGTTGGACGCTGGCTATTTAGGCACTAGACAGAAAGGTACCTTCATACCGCAGAACGTCGCCTCCAACCTGCTACCCCATCATCATCCTACATACTAGTTATAAATATTATGTTATGAAGACACAGTAATAGGTATGATGATGATGAGGAGTGACGTAATGAGGTTTTTATGGAAGTGATATTTTTTATCATTTCTGGGTCGGTATTCACCAAATTATAAGTTAAAATTATCTGTACATCTTTCTTATCGTTACTAAAGTAAATAGAACCACAATGACAATTAATACATTCACGTAATTCATTTTATTCCCATCTGTTTCATTAAGCACAATCTGTGTATATTGAATCGAAAACAAGCCCATGTGTATACTAATAGTAGCTGAATCAACACTACTGATAACGAGAATCGAGATTACAACAAACGAAACATAATTTATTCCATCACAGAACCAAAACCTTTGAATGCCGCGATAACACATTTTTCACATCAATATCATCGGAATAAAACTATAAAAAGATGTAACAGTGTATTCACGGCAGCAACGCCAATAAGTGTCAGGGGAATCATCGCACAGAAAAATTCTTTGTGTGGGCGCCGCCACTAGAAACGTAACGCTCTGAGGCCGGGAACAGGGAAAAACTCGTGAAACCAAATCCTATCGTAATGCGCTATTTAAAGCATAACCTGGTTGAAAATAGCTCGGTGTGCGGCAACGCAACGTCGCGCTCTTCACCGTGCATAAATCTTCAAATTTTATTTTCAACGTAGATGCATCGGGACGATTTTCACGTGTTGTGGATGCGCTACGCTCGTTCCGACACATTTTCCGAACCATTCACGTTTGTTCTAAATTTTGAAAGTTTTCTGGCGACTAGCAGGCTATAACATTGGTAAATTATTGTTTCATTATTACAAATTGTTGGAATGACACGAATTACTCTGTAAATTAGCTGGCGTGAAATTAGATTGTACTGTGTAACAAGGGGACAGGTAACAGTGATTACGAGGTGCTGTGGTTGACCAAATCTAGTTACGTCGAGGTTCACGACAGTAATGATCATTCGTATCCGTTGTGGCTTAAATTAATCAATATATCTTTGTGAATTTATTTGCCTTTAATTCTTTGTGCGTGCAATTTTACGCAAATTATGTTGTTTTAAAGAGACAACAATGCAAAATGTTCTAGTTTTAAATTAGACACACCAGTGTAATTGTCTTGTTTGCAAATAAACATTTCGTGAGCAACTCGGTAACATAATTGTAACAGCAATGAATGCGAATTTTAAAAGCACTATAGTTTTCCGCCGTTATGATTGCAACCTATCAAGTCCACCCCTTTAGAAACGCACACAAAGCAAATGGACGTTCTTTTATTTTCTACATTTAAACCAGAAATTGAGAATGGTGGTCTCAAATGATATCGGCGGCCGATTCTTTTCACGTCGGCGCCGATCACTGGGAGATTCCTTCGGTGCTCGACACGCACGGGGAAGACATTCAATAACCCAGTGAAAAGATTACCAAGAGCAATCAGACGGAAGCGAATCTAAATAAGAATCTCGTGAGAGCGGTCGGGGACAGGGGTGGGCGAGGGAGGGGGAAAAACAGTCGAGCGAGCCTTTGTGAGATCGCCGATTCGATCAAGTTACCATCGAGACAATCATGTAGATTTTAATAGTTAAGTACGTATATAAAAAGCACGATGGGGTATTGAAATTTGAAATTGGCAATATGTCATTAACGGTAACCAGACCATCTGCTCGCATCCACGGTCTCGACCGGGACTCGAACCTGGGCCTCCCACCGTCAAGGAGGGCGCTCTTACCACTGAGCTATCAAGACAATAAGAATGCGAGCATCTCGCCTGGAAACCAACGAAATTTTTATTTGAGGAAAGTATAACGTACTTTTTACAGGAAAACTTTCCAGAAGAATAATGTTACTTCGAACTGTAATAAATCAATTTAGCGTCGCTGAGGAAGATTCCTTTGCCTTTCCTTTTAAATCGTATTTTGGTATTTTTCTTTGTTGGGAAAGTGAACGTTTTGAAATTTCCCGGATAATATAACCCAATCGTGCTTTTTACACGTTTAATAGACAGTACTTTGATTTTGTTTGGATAATTGAATGTTCTGTAACTATACTATTGGTAAAATTAATTTTCGAAGGTTTTATAATTTGCCTTTGAATTGGGTTCGACAGAAATCAGAGTAAGGTCGACTATTTGCGTGGTGCAGCTGTTTGAAAGGCGCCAGTTAATTCGTTACCTTCACTGGTGACTATGGCACTTAATTTTTTGTGCATTACGTGACACAATTGTATGAAGCAAGAATGGAGCATTTAAATTGTAATCGCAGCATACTTTCAGGTATTTTATGTTTTTGTAATGTAAGACCAGTCAATTATTTCCTTGTTATTGGGAACATAAGTTTACTATGTAGTAATAAGACCAACCGACACTATCAAAAAGGAAAAAGATAGTAACAATTTACAAGTAGTAACCAGCCACTATACAAATACCGTTAACTCAGACAAACGCTAAGACAACAGACATCTAACTCTTTGTAAATGCTATCAAGTTTTTCAAGTTTACTAGGAGGAAGCAATTCTTGTCTGTAATAAGTATGTAAAATCTGTAGTCTGTTGAGTATAACAAAGGCTCAGGAAGGTAAAACTCCAGCTACTTTGTTCATTGTATTGAAATAATGTGTTGATACTGTTGGTGGAACGTGTCCTCTTTCCTTATCGTTGTCTAGAGTTATCGCTACCGGAGATGGCAGTAATCAAGTAGAGCGTTTAGTTGAACGATAAAAAGTTGTCCAGACAGCAAGGTCGCCGGACAATGGTAATACGTGCGTAGACCAGGGCAGGTATAATCACGGTGTGACCTTGGATGGTGGTGTCGCGGTTCGCCGCAGACGCAGTTGCAAAAACCACCACCGTGTTTACCTTCGACATGCTTGATCGGAGCAACGTCTCGCTCAGTGCACTCACAGCTTTAACATTATTTGCATCTAGATTTACATACAATCCAATCTTAGCATTTTCTCTTAGCCTGTATTTTCCTCTAGTTTAATCTGTTACTTGTTTAAATAAATTCTCAGAGCTTCTCAGTCAAATTAATTTAGCCACTAAAACATTTATTTCATCTATATCTGTCTTCTGAATATAAGTGATCGCAATCTCTGACAAATCCTCGTTTAAAAACCAACAACTTCCATCAGTGTTTTTGATTAAGTTAATATTTGACACATTTAAATTTGTTCACACGCGACATTTCCATAAGACCACGATTGCGATTTCTAAATACGTTCAAGGTCATATTTCTTATTTCCTGTAATGCAATTTAAGTCATAAATCTTCCTATTATGGTTGAAAATGGAACGTTTTTGCTTGGTAACGCATGTGTTCGCTGCTGTCGAAGTGATGTCACCGTTTGTTATTCCTAGCATGGTTCCATATTCGTTGGTCAACGCGCGCAATTGTTGACTCACATCGTTAAGGAAAAAAGTGTTATCAATTACTTAGAAGGATGTTTACTAGTTTAATTTTATGTCTGGAATGCAAACTGGGACATAGTTACCTGAATTATATTGAATGTGGGTGTAGACCATTTTGGTATATCAAATAGTGGAATGTTCTTGTTCTTGGTAAGAGAAATTGACTTTTCTTATTATTCAAAATTCGTATAAATTTGCATAGGAAATAAGATTGTCATCACAATTTTAATACACATTCAATGCAACTTTAACTAAATGGTTTGTTGAACACGTAGGTGAACCATGGTAGCCAAAACAAAGGCTATTGTTTACCGTGTGCGAGGCAAAGCAGATCGCAACTAGCGCTACTTTCGCATTCGGGACGTGCACGAGGCACATTTAGCAGTCTCAGGGGACGTCGGCGGACTGGTAATTAGCGAGAGAGGCGAAAAATTTGCGACGGCTTAAATTTACGAGGCGCAAATTACACGATTCCGGCGCTATCGCTGCTGCACGCCCGTTAATGTGCACGCCTTATCGAACGTGGAGCGAGGGCCTGCCGACCTGCCACCGCTCTCACACTTCACAGATCGTATCGACCCCACAATACACCAATACTAATCACAACGGTACATACAATTTTATTATGTCTGCGTAATTACGGAAGAAAATATCAAGAATAGAAAGTTTGAAAGACAAAGAATTTACTCACAAAACATGGATGTGGATTTTGAGCGCAGTGACTAAGTTTTGTTTTTGTCTAAAATCGCATGAATAGCAATAGAAATGCAGGGTGAACAATAAGTTACTAGGACTATAAAACAAACAACATGCTCTCGAACCTCGTAGGGTAAAGAAAAGTACAAGATTTGAAGGGGCATACAATATAGTCGGATGACGCTGACAATTTGAACAGTGATTCTACAAAATTGCAACTTGCAATTTTATGAACACAATCATCAATTTTTGTGGAGAACACTAAAAATTTTAGATAGATTTGAAAAGATTGACAACAGACACATTACAAATGTTTTTCTTTTAAAATTGTTAAAATACAAACAACCCAAAATTATCAATTATTTGCAAATATAACAAAAAATATTTCCAAATGATAGCTATATTTGATCGTGTAATTCTGTTAAACCCCGTTTCATTTTACCCAAATAGATAATTATACAGATAAGAGGAAGTTTATCGCATACGGTTTAGATTTTGTCCAATCCTTCTGTATGTAGACTTTGTAGACATTATATCCTTGAATTTGTAATTAAATATCAGAGTTTCCTTGTTTGCCCAATTCGCAAAAAATCCCATTCAATCGTGAAACGAGTTTTGTGTCGGTCTGTAATAAATTCAATTGGCTCTCATTTCTTGTAAAGGACAAAATGTAGATGACATCTTGTAGGTGTCACAATCGGTCTTTATTCGTTTTCAGCATCTTTGTAACTTTCAAATCGTACGTGTAATGTATTTACAGTGATTGAAGAATTTCAATTCATTACTCTTTTTAACCAATCACTGGTATCTTTGTCTGATATCAAAATCGTATCTTTATTTAAATCTGACATAATTTCAATTTTAATCTCTAAATTAAGAGCTAAAATGTGGCGATAATAATAATACAGAGCGGGCCCTCTATTGACACACGTTTTTATTGTGGAGCAGGTAGTAGGGCCAGCTGTTACCCTCGTAGTAGAAGCGTTGCAAACAAACCATTGTACGTTCAAATGGATAAAGCCGTGCTATTTTTAAAATTAACATGTTCGTGCGTATCTCGTTTTTCACATTTTAAAATTGTTGTCTGCATGTAGAATATGCTCAGTTCGACAAAAATTTGGTTCATATCATTTCTTTATCATCTTTTCTGTAAACATTTATGACTGTAACGAATATATTTTGATTGTAATTATCACTATTATCACTCACAATGACATCACCTACTTAATTTGCAGCAAATATAGTTGCTGTTTTAAAAAAGAATAAACATAGGCATGCACTTATCGTTTCATGGAAAATCACGCGTTACAACAGTTTTATTTGGTCGACTCGGGATGTGGAACATTTCTGTATTCAATTTTTATTATCTTGGAATCAACGCTATTTGTGTTGTTTTAAGAGATAAGATTAAACCAACGTAATTTTCTCGGACGAGATATGATAAAAGAACATGCAAGTTTTGGTTTATCATTCAATTCAGAATATCACAGAGGATTTCCCAAAGCAGCCATTTCACTGATTTACTAGTTATTGCCATTAAGTAAAATTAAAAGAACTTTGTGATATCAAAAGTTTGCTTCGAACTTTTCTCAAAGTCAATTTCGATGTAGAGACATTTGGCACACAAGTGGAAGTACAAAGTACAAAAATGAATTTACAAGAGAGAAATACTCAGAAACACCGAAGCTCTTTCTTACATTTAGCAGAAGTAAAGAGTTTAAGAAGTTAGTAATCCAAAGGAATAGCGATATTCACTATTAGAAGAAATTGAATAATGCAGGAGGAAAGTTCCATGAGGGATTAAGGAAGACTACATAGCGTAACTTATACATTATGGGCAATATTGATGAAAGCTTTAACTTGGGTTTGTCGTGCGAGTAGCGCAGGTCGCTCTGCACCTAGCAGGTTTTAACCAAGGCGAAAGCTCTCATGCGGCGGAGCGAGCGGACCGAACCAGCAGCATCGCCCGGCACTAGCAACATACCGCTCGCTCCTACTGTTGGAAACTTTTCCGTCGAATTTCGGAAATCGCCGGCGGTTAACTCCGTCCACAAACAAAGACAAACACTAACGAGACAGATGGGTACAAAACACGATTGCCAAAACACAGCAGCCTTTTATTCACAAACTTTCACGATATACACTTTGTCGCGAGTTCCGAATTTCGACGAGATCATGCCGCATTTAATAGAATGAGCGTAACACTTACATGATGAGGGATAAACAAGCCGGGTAAGGGAGTGTAAAATGTCCGTAAGTTAAAACATAGCAAGTTGCACGTAAGTTAGGAGAAACGATTCGCCGGTAGCGTAGAGGTCGCGGTTCGCGGCCACAGCGGGGCGGCACGCGTCGTGTTCGGAGCACGAGTGCGGTGCACGGAGCGGCGCGAGTCACACAAGCACAAGCAGAGTCGGCGGGCGACTGACGGGAGGCAAGTGGCGCGGCGAGGGGGCTGCCGTTGCGCGCGCACCCCGCGCCGCTTCCCCCCGCCTCGTCGCTCCGCACCCCGCGACCGACGCCAGCCGGCCGCCTTATCACACCGCGCGGCGCGCCGCTTCCTTTCTCCTCATGCAGTTGCGAGCTTTTCGCCACTGCCACACTTCCGCCCGCCCCGTCGATTGTGTAGAGTTTTAGCCGGTCAATGTGTTGCACCGATTATTTCCACTTCTTGAGCACAAGACATTCTTTTAACGACGCTCATGAATGTAAAAGTTTTATTTCGATTAAAACTTTGACAAGTTTACAGGAAACTGTCCTAAGCAAGTATTATTTGCGTATTTAAGTAGACGTAGTCAGTGTAGTACACAGAAGAAAAGCTCTTTTACAGTTAACACGTCTGTATTGGGTCTACTAAAATCAGAGTCACCAACATTGCCAAAATAAACCTGAGAACAAAGGACTTGATTGCAAGTTTGCAACATGTCCGGTAAGTTTAAGTTGTCCATACTGGGTTTATCGAGGGGGAGGGAGCTTCGTGTGCAAGCGAGCTAGCAACAGACTCAGGCGCAGGCGAAGAGCGGCGAAAGTGCGCCGCGGAACGAGTTTGCGTGGCGCGTGACCTGCCCGAGGACACGCTTGCCTCCCCTCGCCTTCGCAAACTAACGTGCCCTCTAATGCAACACATATCATACCAATATTATTTTACTATCATCAAATTGAGCTTTCACATTTTTCTATGTATAAATTCAGTTAAAACTAGTAAAAAGTTATTCAACTATTAAATAAACTCATTTACGGTTCGGTTCAAATAAATTAAAAGGTACTCTTTTAAAACTTGGAGTACGATCTTTGTAAGTCTGTACAAATAAAAGGATTTTACAGTTCCAAGTTCCAACAAAGGTTTATGAGTTCCTCAAAATAATAACACGTGGTCACTAGCCATCGTTTTCGATTTCGTTCGATTTTGTAAACAGGAAAAGAAAAATTTGTAACTAAAGTTAAAATGAGAAATGTGGCAGCATTAATCTACCTAACAGATCTATGTGTCAATAGGTCTGTTCGGTTGATGGCTGGGAATGACGAGGCAAGGCAAGACGAAGCGACACGGGCATGGACGTGCAGCAGAGCAGGCGCTGCGCACAGGCGGCAGCAGTCACGAATGCGACGTGTGCTAGTTTTTGTAGCGCGCACGCTACCAAGCGTGACGTCTAAAAGCTCGTTTATACGCTTCTTATAGTCGTTTGACTCGAAATATCCAGTCATTTTTTACCTGGCTGGCTAGGCTATCATCTTAATAATGCAGAGCTGCAAATCATTTGTTGTAAAAATCGTGGTCAATGCCCGAAACAAGGCCAACTTATTGTTACCTTCAATTCCACTTTAAAGACCGTCGTATTTTGAAATAAGTTCTGAATAAAGTCAAGTACCTAACTTCTCGATCTGAACTTACCGAGCCGCTTGAATGTCGACCCATCCAGCGTGTTTGTTTTGCAACTTTGAATGTGTCTGAGCCGCAAATACTCCAATATTGGATTAATCAATGAATCCCTCAATATACACGCATTTAGATAATACGTATTTTATTCAAACTCGTCCAACTGAACGTTTAAGTGTTAATAAACCTAATGAGTTAATCATACTTATAAGTTGACTTTAGCATGCAATTAGTTGGTAGTAGGAGCCGTCAAAACCGTATCAGTACCCTATATCGCGTTCGTGGAAGAGCACCGTTCTGAATTTTTATTGCACATTATCTTGGTTGGTGGCGGTGGGTTTCTTTATACTCCGCCTAGTCGCTAGCTTATTGCGCTTCATAAAGTAAGAAAGCACGCGTTGGTCATACATTCTTCTCGGATGAAAGACGGGAAGTAAGCACGGCACCGCTGTGCTAATTAGTTGTTTTTGAACAATTTTTTCACCGTCTAATGAGTGAGCAATGATACCGACAGCTGTTTCGTCGTGCCGCCCGCCTGCTCACAATGCGTGCCGGCAAGCCGTCGTCGTCCACTGCTGACACGCGACCAAAGTGTTATTTACCATAGCGCCTACACAAAGCCTACATTCATTATTATAATAACCGTAAAACTATATTATTCACGTATTACTTTTTTATAACCTAAAACATACATCGTTTAAGATTTATATCCTCGTCTACTACGTACTTACGTAGATGAGCGCAATATAAATAAGAGCATATTTTGCTTAAGTAGCCCAGTGTATTTAGCTTTGAAGTCTGAACTACAGATACTTCTGTCTGTAGTTCAATAAAATTGCAGCTAAGTAAAGATACTGAAAGATGCGCTCCGTTGGCAAAATTTGGTACCGAGACAAGCGGCAGAGTTCAACGGCCTGCCGTTCATCTCGTGTTCGCAAAAAATGCACTGCCCCGTCCCACGCCGAACGCAGTTCTCAGTCTCACACACATAAAAATATAAGTAGATTGTACATGAACACATACCAACAACGCGGTTACCAATCGCCGCACGTGTAATCGTACACCGCACCTCTCTCCTTGTGCGGATACTGGAGAACATTACGAGAACAATGTTTATTACTTGCATGATGCTAGCTAGGTATGCCGGCCGCCGGGTTACTTCCATATAAGTATTAACGCGGTGAGCGAAAATAATAGAGAGGCTAATTAGTATTCTAAATTATACGATCCCGTTACTTTCAAAAATGTGTGTCGTTGAATATTACTTAGAGTCGAGTAGCCAATTGTTGGACAATAACAAATTAGTGGGGGTGCGCCCACGCTGCTCATCTCCACATCAGTTTACCGCGCACGCGTCGAGTTTCCTGTACCATTCAAATCATCACCATTTGAGCACCCACAAACACGATTGTCCTTTCCTTTTGTGACTTCATAAAGACAATATTTATCATATTTAAACATACGGTTGACATCATCCTTAGAATAATCCATTCATATCTGTAGGTTGAATCACGCGACAAATTAGTTTTAACATAAATAAAACATTTTTTGCGGCTCCGAATTTACTTATTATTTATTAAAAACAACATAAAGAATTAATGTGTAATACATTTTCACGAAACATGAGTTCGACTCCCACGAACGTTTCGAACAAATGCAATTTGTTTAGAGGTTCGTCGAGCCAACGACCGTTCCAAAAACTAAATTCAGACTTCCGATTAAGTCGACCTTGAAAGAACGTCGGGAAAACGAATCGTTTATACGAGCAGAACAATACCACTTAAGTGATAAGAGAAGAGAGTGCGCACGATGTGTAATTCGCGGGGGTACCGTTTTAAACGCGATTTCGCCAACAAAGAGGCTCCAATTCTCGGTCGACTGCCTGCCGCCGTGTATCCACACACCAATTAAGCTAAATTAAATATACGAAGAATTTAGAAACTGGTTAGCTTCCTTGAAGCGCGACGTAGTAATTGGCTAACCCCGCTAGGAGCACGGACGCATCACATGTGATTTATTGATTGTTTTTTTTTTCATCTAGACTTGCAGCTAGATGAACAATTACACTTTGGTTATCTAGATAGTGTCTAGTCGCGTTTTTCCGACGATAATACAGTGAGCTAATTGGGTAGTGATTCCATTACCAATTAAATTAGATGGATTATGATTATTAAACAAAAATGAATCTGTAAATTAATAATTAAGTATATTGTAGCTAATGCTAAGTAAGTCTTTATCAAGATTCATAGATGTTTCCAGTATAAAACAATAGCATTGAACACGTCATCTAATATGATTCTGACCTGATCTGCTACATTTATATCAGCTTACAACACTTTACCCAAACAGGTAAAATAAAAAGAATTTGTACTAAAAGTATTTCCTTATTGATACATTTAATACAGTAACATATATATACTTGAATGGCGTTCATTATTTTCACATTTTCTTTGTACAATTGACTTATTTTTGATTAAATGTATAGAAAAGGGGTAGTCGGGGGTTGGTGTGCTGATAAGTGGATTGTAGATGACTTCTTAGCACCGCGGTACCAGCGTTTAATTAAAAGCGCGCCGGAGCGAAGTCGCGCTCCTGAGCCTGTCCCGAAGGCTGCGCGGTGCGCGCTCACGCCTGCTTGATGACTCCGCATAAACGTTAATTAACTCGCTCCATTCGACTTAACATCGCTACTCTCTAGCCTGCCTACACTCATCTCTACACCAAAATCCATTCAACTGCATACGTTTGTGACTATTTGAGGAAACACATCGAACGTCTTAAAATAACATCAGTTTCTATATTGGTAGAAACTAATGTTTCACTAATTCGTTTACGCAAATAGCTGAACACTTTTCTTCAGTTTCGGATTGGATACGATGTATTTACCGTCTTTAGAAAATTCGTGTACTGAAATAGGTTCCGGATCAGTGACGTAGGCACGGAAATGAAAAACCTCTATTGGCTGATATTTGAAGCTGTTATAGTGACCGAACGACGCGGACGTGAAACTGCCTCAGGTGCTTTGCTGTTACTCAATATCTTTATAATTTCCGTTCACCCATTTTCAGATAAGACGTATCCATGAAATGACGTAAGTTATTTTACTGTTTTGATAAATATTCATATACTTACTTAGAGGAAAATTAAAATTAGTTGCCACTTAAGGCTAAGAATGTATAATTAGTTAATTTTAATTTTGATAATAAAAATGGATATTTATAAATAATGCACGTGCTTTATTTGCCCGGCCAGGTAAAGTGGTTAATTAGTTTGAATAAAACGAAATGAATTGTTTTATTATGTAAAGGGGCAACAAATGAGGTTTTATTTGTTTTGCTGTATGCAGTACCGAGACTACAGAGGTTGAATGTTAAAATGACGGCAGCTACATGTGAGGTGGGAGTCAAGTGTAAGAGCGGTCTCGGAGTAGCTAGTTATTACCCGAATTATTCGCTAAGTAATAAGAAACGCAGTGAGCGGCGCCGCGGAGAGCGTACTGTGCTAAGTGGCTTTTAAGGTCGCTTACCTCATCTCACCGCCTCTAGTGAGACTATCTGACTGTTCATGCACGAATATAGTCCGATGGTTCTTTGTTTATTTGATCAGTTATAACACCATGTTGCTTTTCGAAATCGTATTTTGTTTTACAGTACTTAGTCAAGCGTGTACCGCGTTTAAAGAAATATCTTGTAAAGCAGTTGTTAACGTTGTTTTACATAACATCCAACAAAGTAACCAGTAGTATGTTTTTATAAAACGTTTTGCTGTTTTACAAAAAAGCTGTTGAGTCATAACATTAAAAATATATGAGCACAAAAGATCCTTTGTGTTATAAAACGCCAATCATCGTGTCTCTTAGAATCTATCATAGACGCAATATTAAGATTTGTGAATCATGAAATTGACAGAGCCGAATTTTTGATGCTTCTTTTGTAAAAACTAGGTAAGCATTTACGTAAGTAAGTAACAAAGAAAAAGAGCATAAGTTATATGAGTATGATTAAAATAAAACATTGTGTTGTTTTTATAGCCAAGATTTAAAAATAACTAATATTCTAACAATGGCCGCACCATACGAAGAAATGTAAGCCGTTGGACACGCTAACATGAGTCGAGACTAATATAGCTGCTTTTGATGCAGTCTATATGGGCATGTTGTCCAAAACTGTAGTTTAGACTGCCGTATATGTATAAGCCTAGTGGTGGATATAATAGAGCTTATTAGATGCTCAATTGTGAAAATATAAGCTCTTTGAATATCGATCAAATGAGGCAGTATAACAAAAACTGGAAGCTAGCCGGACTGTATGTACCGCGTTACATGTTAAGTAACGTATTAGGTTTTGCCACAGTTTTTGTAGCAGTCGAATATAATTCCACGAAGACTGCTTCAACGTTGTTGTTTCCAGATAGGGACTAGCTAGAAGCATCGCGCTGTGTGCGATGCGGTTCAACTCGGCTGCCGCAACTCGTAAATAATGGCGTCTCATTGTGGGCCATTATTAATGAATCTGCCACCCCGCGCTCCCAACACCGCACCCGCCCGAAAGCCAAATAACAGGTGCGTCTAACCCCATTCGCACAATCTATTTTCGATGTCTTATAGCCGTGCAGAGAAACGCTCGATGCGTTCTCCTGCTCTAAATATTCATACCATATGCCAGATATTGAGATTTGTTTGGGCGTCATCTGCTCGACATCGTCGTCTCTAAATAAGCGCGGTCTCGTGTTGGCTTTGCGAAGTTTCATTAGCCGTCTGGGTATACTTACTTATGGTATCATGTTGCTTGAATTGTGTGTGGAATTTCTACGTACCGTGCAAGGAGTTCTAGCAAAATAACGCTCATTAAACAGACTTATGAATAACAAGGACTCGTAAGACGAATATATTATGATAACTTAATTAGCATTGAATTCAGTATATGATACTGCAAGATGTGTAACGTTCAAAAGTAATCTGCAGTTAGTTTAAATGCTTTGCAAGAATTCAGTTAAGAAATGTTTAAAAGACTCGAATGTATCGTGCGGGCGCATGGGACAAAGTTACTCTGGGACACGTTACTTGTCACGGGACTGGATGTACGAGGCCTTCTCACTGTCGCTCTATTATTTACTCCACGGAAAACTGCTTTTCATATCACAAGCAGCGGCCCGCAGCGAAGTCGCACAAAGATGGCTCCCTCGCTCCCTACATAAATGCACTTACTTTATGAATGACGTAATCGTAATATTGTTCTGAGCTTGGATTTGTATTCATGTTTCTCTGCAATCAGTTTTGTGTAATGGTTGTGGAACTTGACTATTTCCATTAAACATTCGAGCGGTTATTTACTTAGAAGCAAACAAAAACCCGCTTGAAAGATTAGCGTGACGAATGTACGAACGATAAAGCTAGACAAAACTTAAATAAAACGTACCTAGTTTCATTTATCATAGACATCTATACGTAAATAGCGACTGAGTTTTGTTGTTCGTGTGTCTGATTTAGATTTAGCAAGGACACGAAGCGAGGCCAAGCGGCAGACAAGTGCGAGGTCGTAGTTCAATACTTTAACCAAAACAGTGTTTACATCTTATGGAACAAATTGCGTGAATCACAAGAGTGACGTAATGAAGGAAGTTACCACTTGGCTGGATACAACCTACGCGCTCCCGCCAGGTCGACCGTACCGTCATAATGTTTCAAAAATATTGCTTTGATCCGGCACCATTATTACTTAAACTGGTTACGTCTTCGCAATGAAGATTGAAGATTAACTTAATAATTCCGGTCAGTAAATTTTCGCAATCTGTTCTAAAAGAAATAAAGAAGGATTATTTTTAAATAAATGAGAGTAATGTTTGTTTTATGTTTTTTCTACAGCGATGTTGCGGTTGTGTGAAAAAGATTTCCTCACTGTATCACATTAGCAAGCGTCATGTTTACAGAATGTCCGCTTGTGTGCGCGCCGCGCGGCACACAACGCGTTACATTTATTTGCAACCGTCAAAAGGCCAGGTGATTTCGACGAAGCATCCATCGTCTGTCGATGTTTAGATCACCGCTTGTGTTAATTAGCATAATGGTGCTGGATGCTATGACGTCATGTATCTAATTTGATTACTCCGGGGCAAGGCCGCCGTGGTTAGCAGTTAGCACGAGAGTGCGCAACTTTAATAAACCGA